TGCCCGGCATTCCAATGCTGGAGCAGGAAAGCTTGAAATACCTACCAAAACACTTGAATACAGACATACTGGCAGTATGGAAATGCTTCTGTGCAGGTGTTAATCAAGTTAAATCCCAACAGCCAATCAGCAAGAAGTATAGAGGAAAGCTGCATGCCTATTGGTTGATGCCCTGCATTCCATTGTGATGACTCATGCCCAAACGTGGTAAACAAGGCAAACTAACACAGTAATACATTTGCTATAACACAGCCAAAAAACTCAAATAAAACCATTCTAAAAGCCTGTATCACAATAATTTAAAAAACGCCTAGGGGTATTTGCCCACTGTACCTCCATACCAAATTTCAGGACCTTGGGCCCTAAAATGAAGAAGCTGAATCCATTTAAAAAATGGCAGGAGAAGAAGAAGGAGGAGGAGAAGAAACATCAGAAAAAGCAATATGGTTTCACCACACCACTTCGTGGTGTGGTGAACCCATAATAATTCTAATTCTTTTTGTTTTTGATCAAGATCATCAAGGACTGAGTCTGAGGGAGAAGGTGTGTTGTCAAGCTGGATTTGAAGAGTTTTTATTTCATCGATTAATTTCTTTTCTTTAGACAAATGTTGCTTATTTTTCCGGCTTGAAAACTTAATGCAATAGCCCCGAAAGAAACACTTGGCCGTTTCCCACACAACTTTGTAAATTAAATTTTGGTGAATGGGGCGGCACGTAAAAACATTCAACTTTGGATTGGCGTAATTATGAAAAGTCCATATTTGGGGTAGACTGGCTCTACATGGAGACCAATGGAATAGTCAATTTTTCAAATTCAATTTTGGACAGAGGTAGTCCATTTTCGTTACGTGGGGGTCGCTGGAAAAGTCAATTCTTGAAGAGGAGGTTTTTTTAATTCAATTGTGGACTGGGTGGTTACAAAAAGTTATTTTGTGCGGTGGTGTTTTTGCACTGGTTATTTTGGAATGTTTGCATTTTCACAGGGGTAAGTTTGAGCTGTGGTTATTTATCCCAATTTTTTAGCACCATATTTTCTTTTATTCTAAAAACGTGCTAGTCACATTGAAATGGGATATTTGTTAAAAAGCATGACATCCCATTTTTTTAATAAAAGGTATATAATCCAAAACCTTTAGTGAAAAAATGGGATAACACCCCTGCCATCCCATTTTTTTACTAAAAGGTATATTATACAATCTCTTTTTAGTGAAAAAATGGGATAACACCCCTGCCATCCCATTTTTTTACTAAAAGGTATATAATCCAAAAACATAACATATACTAGCAAAAAAATAATCAAATTAATAAAAATACAATTGTCCCAAGAAAAACTTTTAGCCCCTTTTTTTACATTAAAATACATTACGGTGCTAAATAATTGGGATAAATAATCAGATCTTAAGTTTGTACTAGTCTGTTTTGTATAGGGTGGAAATGGAATACAAATGCTGTATTTGCTGGCAAGCAAATATCGGCCTTTCAAGCTCAATATATATCATGCCTGTTTGTTTGTTTGTTTGTTTGCGTCAAGACAACATGGTACAGTCATGTTGAATATTCACCGTACCGTCGGCGTCTACCTCGTGAACGATGTCGTTGAGTTCTGCCCGGGAGGGGTTCATACCCAGCCGGCTCATGATGGTCCCCAGTTCCCTGGTGCTGATGTCACCGCCTCCATCAGCGTCAAACATGTCAAACGCCAACTTGAATTCTAAAAGTACGAAATACGGTTATTGAATGCCGGTGTCAAAAATTCTTAGTCCGTATTTGTTGATCGCCAGAAGGTCATCCAAATTCTAAAATCTAGTCGAGTGTGTTTTTTGCCAAAAATCTCCCCCTACACATTTGACGGGACTCGGGCGATCGCCTTGGGACACTTCAGTGATATCTGTAAGGCCATTGATTTAATTCTATGGATGACATCTGCGCGCGCATTCATTTTCGCCCTCTCTAAAAAATTACCTCCTCCGATACTGTAGGGTGCCATCCTCTGTAGTCTATGGTATCTAGCGACAATAGGGAGCCGAACAGGCCTGTCCGGCGTTAACGACAGTGCCCAGGATACAGAGGCTCCACGGAACTCCAGAACTCAGCACGGTGCCGACTCAAAATGGCGCAAAAGGCCAGCAGAACACCGGCTGAGCGTAAAAGTCGCGTTGTACTACCGACTCCGACTATACAACAGTATTGTCCTACCCACTGCAATCTACGCTAGCGAAACCTGGAAATGTACAGCTAAAGCATCCAGAAAGCTAGACGCCTTCCACCAGAGAAACCTGAGGAGGATACTGAAGGTGAGGTGGCAGGATCACATAACGAACGATGAGATCCTGAACAGGACCAAGTCCAAGCCTCTGAGTACCATCATAACAGAGAAAAGGATGCAGCTGGCAGGACATATCCTCCGTCTGCCCAGCAGAAGGCACTCTAAGACAGCGATGACTTGGGTACCCCACAACGGCAGAAGAAAGAGGGGAAGGCCGAAACACACCTGGCGCAGGACCTTCCAAGATGATCTAAGAAGGGCAAACATCCCCTGGGAGGAGGCGGAGACAGTGGCCGCTGACAAAAAGAAGTGGAAGCTTGCTGCCCGATGTGCCATTGGCACAGGAGGAACTAAGGTCTAAGGTAAGGACTACCGACTACCGCAAATTTGCATTACCTGCTTTCTTGTTTATTAAGTATACTCCTATGGTTTAGCAGCATTTTTTGGCTGGATCTTTTTATTCGCCTTCTCGCATTAGTTTTGGGGTTAAGAAGATCCAGAGGATGTCATCCATGAAATTAAGTCAGTGTGGCATCATGAGATGTCACTGGACAATGCCGAAGTCATACTAGGATACTTATCAGAAGGCAATAGTCATACAATGTATTTCATGTACGACCTGAAATTGGCAGGGAGGACAATAGGCATATAGCCCTTTAGAAATATTTTATTACACGTACCTTCGCCAGAAGATTACGTTTTTGGTGGCGTTTGGATGTGTGCATGCACGTATGTATGTGTTCGTATCAATGTGTGTTTATGGTTAAGCACGTTAACTCAAGATCTATGGATAGATTGTCATGAAACCTGGTAGGTCTTTAAGAATTTGGATTTTGACAAAATTATATTTTATGAAACCTCGAAACCGTCAGATTTGGGGTGCCCTGGCGGCTTGCTGTGGTACTGCAGCAGAACTTCCGCTTTTGTCGTGATCTGAACATGCTAGGGTCACGAACTTTGGATGGTAGATTACACTTCTGCTCGGAAAGAAGTGACGTACGCTTGGGTGTTACCTTGGACATATGTCCACTGGACAGAGCTAATGTGCAGTTTCTGTTGTACCG